GGGTGCTGGCATGACCTACAGTTCCAATCTCCTTGGCCTGCTCATCTTTCCTGTCTCAAGAATACCACACACACAAAGAGAAATCACAAAGAAGCACTTCTATTTGCAAAACCTGTATTCTACATTGGTAAGAGATAATAGAACTTATGTATCTCTTGTTAGTCAACTAATACTAGTGAATGAACCAGCAAGTAAACATACCAAACTAGCTAGTGGTGTTAATATACAAACCTATAACATGTAAGAAAAATGCTAACTATAATGTTAAAAATATATGAACTTGTTTTGGAGAGAGAATGGCCAAACATGAGCTGTAGACCAAAGAGTAATTTAATAAAAACAATGACAATGGACTCACCTTGAGAAAACAAAGAGAAGGGTATGCACCGAATGCTAGAAGTTGAAGAAGAAGAATAGATTACAAAGAAGGTTGGGTGGTGATTTTGGTTGAGGGATGGTGTGGTTTATATACTTGCTTAGGCCTGAGAATCGAGCGGATTGAGGCAGCCAGTGGAGGGCTATGGGGTGTTCCTTTTTATATTCTTGTTCTTCACTCTTCTTTTTTTTTTTTCTTTTTTGCTTTGTTCTTCACTTAGCATCCTTGAACAATGGAATCACATAATTAAACTAAAATATAAAAATGAAAAAGATCAGAGGAAAAAAAAATTTATGTAGGATACTAAAGAGAGAAAATATTGTAAAATTTGATAAAGCTTTTTCTACTGGTTTCAAGGCTTGTGGAGGTGGGAAGTGTACAAGTCATAGGGAGCTTTTAGGGGAGCTTCTAAATACATCCATTGTATTTCTCATTACACCAACAATTCTCTCTATATTGGTACATGAATTTCTCCACTAGATATAACAAGGGCTACATTGCTTGAGGTGGATGTAAAAAGAAATTTAGTTTTTTTAATTGGCACACATCCACTATTTTAATTTTTTAATTGTAAAATAATTTGTTCAAATGTTTCTATAATTTAAAATATATATATATATAATATATATATATATTCTTTATATAAAATAATTTAATCAGGATAGGCCATAGAGTTACTATTTTTGCTTACTTTCTAATTTGTACTTCAAAATCAAACTATTTTATTAGTCAATTATTAATTTATGAATAAAAACCCTGATCTAGAATGATTTTTTTTGGACCATTCATGTTCATACAAACATAATTTCAAACCCAGTCTGACATCCATTCATGTTCATACAAACCCAGTCTGACATCCATCACCATTCATGTTCATACAAACATAATCTTCACTAAGGAGAGATCAAAAGAAGCAGGGTTACATACCTGAGAAGAGTTCAGATCATTCTTCTTGCACATAAAACTCAAAGCACGACCGATGCTGCTCCGACGACGACACTGCTCCCTCCTCCGCTGCTCCGACGCTACTTCCTCCGCCGCTCACCGGTGGGTAGGGATTGAAGATTTGGGGATTTGTTGGGTTTGACATTGGGGATTTTGGGGGGAGGGGGGTAGTGATTTTTGGGTTTTGAGGATTGGGAATTTGTGGGTTTGAGATTAGGGATTTGGGGGGGCGGGGGCGGGATTTTTGGGTTTGGGGTTTGAGATTGGAGATTTGGGGGGGGGGATTTTTGGGTTTGGGGTTGTGAGATTGAGATTTGGGGGGGGCGGGCGGGAATGGAAACAAAAGGGCGGTAATAAAAGGTAATAAAAAATAAGAAAATATTATTTTTTAGTCACAAATGAAATTTAAATAATAAATAATATCGTTAATTTTTTTTTTTTTTTGTGAGGAGTTATCGTCGTCAAAAATTTTATTTTTTGTTAAAATATATATATTTTTGTAGTTAATGAATTTTTTTTAATTTTTTTTTTTTAGTTACTAGATTGAAAATTTATTTGTTTCATTCTTATTTTCATGAAAAAATATTAATTATTTTTTATTTGGTAGAAGTAGGGGTAATATTTTAATAAAAATATTTTTCACTAAAATAAAAATTAAATTTTCTGTAGTTAATGAAAAATATTTTTCTGTGGCCTATTTTTTTTGGGTTACTAAAAACACGATCTAATTTTTTATGGTAGAGGAAATTGAGCGGCAATAGTGGTGGTGGTGATGGTGATAGCGAAAAGAGATTTAGTGGTGAAGTTTGGTAGTGGTAGTGTAAATGGAGTGGCAGGGGTGAAGAAGAGGGAATGGTAGTAGTAGTGGCAGTAGTGGTAGTGGTAGTAGTGGAGTGGTGGCGATGGTAGTAGTAATGGTGAAGTGGCGACAGTGGAAGTAGTGGTGGTGGGGAATGGTGTTTGCAATAGTGGTAAAGGTGGTAGAGAGAAGATGGGTGGTGAGAGAGAGAAATGAGTGAGAGACAGATAGAAGAGAGAGAGGAGAGAGAAGAGTGATGAGCGAGTGAGAGACAAAGTGGATGCTAAAAAGTGCATTTTTCTTGTAGTGGATCGATAAATCGAGAGGGAGCTCAGTAAATAGAGAAGACACGAAGAGTGAAAAAGTGAGCAACGCAAACACAGTAGGAGAGAGAGAGAGATAGAGAGTGAGAGAGACAGAAAATAGAACATAGAGAGAAGAGAGATGGCAGAGAGACAGAGAGAGATAGAGAAAGAGAGATGAGCGAGAGAGATAGAAAAAGATGAGAGATGAGAGAGAGAGTAGAGAGAAGAGAGAATGAGCGATGGAGAGATAAGAGAAGAGAGATTGAGCAAAAGAGATAGAGAGAGAAAAATAAATGAGAAAAGAGATGAGAGAATAGTAGATGATGGGAGATACAACAGAGAGAAAGACAGATAGACAGACAGACAGAGAGAGAAGAGTAATGAGTAAGAGAGAGAAAGAGTGATGGGTGAGAGAGAGATTAGACAGAAAAAGAGATATGAGAGAAGAAGAGAGAGATAGATAGATAGAGAGAAAGATAGAAAAAGAGAGAGAAACAAGAGATGAGCGAAAGATAGACAAAAAGAGAAGAAATAGAGCGAAAAGAGATGAGCAAGAGAGAGACACAGAAAAAGAGAGAGACAGAGAGATAAGAGAAATGAGAGGAGAGAAGAAATAAGATAGAAAGAAGAGATAGAGAGAAGAGATGAGCGAGAGAGACAGAGAGAGAAACAGATGAGAGAGATAAGAGAAGAAGGAGAGATAGGCGAGAGACACAGAGAGAAAATGAAGAGAGAAAACAGACAGACAGAGAGAGAAGATGATGAGTGAAAGAGATAAAGAGAAGAGAGAGAGATAGAGACAGAGAGACATGAAGATGAAAAAATGAATGAAAAGAAAATGTTACATAAAAGAGTAAGAAGACATTGTTTTTTTAAATTTTTTTTTTGTGAAAGAAAAAAGTTGCTAGAATTTATTCAAACCATTTTGTGACTGTATATATATGAAGCTGTCTCAAAACCACAATCACTATGCTATGGTTAGAGTTTTCCAAAAACTCTTTTGAGAAAATTTACTTTCTTGTTTCCGTGTTATATTGTTTTACTGAATTTTTTTAAATATTTTAATATTTTATTTTTTTTTAATTTTAGACACACCTAATATAAATACACCTAAAAATTAAAAAAAATATTTTTTTTTTTTAAAAAAATTCACTAAAATACCAAAAATACAATACATTTTTTTTTTTGTATTTTTATGTATTTATTAATTTTTAAAAATATTTTTTCATAATTTTTTTTTTAGATACATCTAAGTAAAGGTGCATCTAAAAAATATTTAAAATTTAAAAATATTCACTAAAATTAAAAAAAAAAAACAACGAAAGTCACCTTTTGCGACGGCAAAAAAATGCCATCTCAAAAAAGCAGAGTATTTGCGACGGCACCATTTGCGTCTCAAAAAAGCAGAGCATTTGCGACGGCACAATTTGCCGTCTCAAAAAAACAGAGTTTTGCGACGGCAGAAAATACCGTCGCAAATGCTCTCATTTTTTTGAGACGGAATATTAGTCCGTCGCAAATAGCTCTGCTTTTTTGAGACGGAAATAGTGCCGTTCGCAAAATACTCTGTTTTTTTGAGACGGCATTTTTTGCCGTCGCAAAAAAGTGACTTTTTGAGACGGCAAGTGTGCCGCTGGCAAATAGTCCCGTCTCATATAGCCCACTTTTCTTGTAAGTGTAATTGTTTTGGCATTTTTCTTTTTTTGACTTTTAATTTTTTCAAAATTTCAATTTGACTAAAAAATTTTAAAAAAGCAAAATCCATTTTTGTATAATATTTTGGTAGGAAGGACAATGAATGAAAAACATGAGTGCAGATCCTTGTAGTAGCAATGTTTAGTGTATCAAAATGACGACGCGACTGTTTCAAATGCATTAAAACAAAAAGGATAATAAATAAAAACAAATAAATAAAGCTTATTGCTACATTCCAGGCACAAACTTTGTGGCTTTTGATGAACAAATCTGCAGCAATCGGCCTGAGATTGTTCTTATTGTTTTCATGATTTTAAAGTGGCGGGTTCCCTTACCCTCCCTATCTACAATTTGGCCGCTATTAAACAAATGAGTGTTTTTTCTGCTCTCTCTCTATATAGCACAGGGAACGGAGCCAGCCTATGACGAAAGGTTGCCATGGCCCTACTTTTTCAAAACCAACATATAATATATATATATGTATGCATGTATTTAAACTTCAGAGGAGAGATTTCATGTCACACAGGATGTGGGAGCCGAAAAACTGGAGAGAAGGGTGATTGGAAGTTTTGGTGGGAGAGGTGGTTCACCATTTGGATTTATGGGCCCTGATGTGAGGCCTGGGTGATTGGTATTGTGCTCGTTGGCAATGTGGTGCCCATAATTTGCCCAGTCGTCGCTCGAGCTGCTTCAAATGCGGCATGTTTAAGGAGGAATCGTCAGTTGGCTTCGATGGTGATTTGTCCCGTGCAAGAGGTTAGGGTTTGGCGGAGGTGGCAGTGGCGGCAGTGGCAACAATCGCTCTGGATGGAAATCCGGTGATTGGATTTGCACTAGGTAAAGTTTAATTGGCACACATCTATGTTTATATTGTGCAAAATGCACCATTTTGCTTTCTTTGATTAAGTAGAATATTTTCATTTTAAGTTAGGTCTTGCAAAATGAAGCTTTTTAAGATTAATATTTAGCCTTAATATGTCAATTTAATTTTTCCTTATAATAGATGACAGAATATTGTATTAAGTTAACAATTTCAAAACAAGTTGAGTTGGCTAAGCTGAAACTATGAAAATTTGGTGTTAATTGGTTAGACTTTAAATTCATAACTTAACATTTTCTCTATAGTTTACTCATTTTTGTAATGAGTATTTTCATAGAATAAGCTAAAAAATGGACTCAATTGGTTCATTTTACGTATGAGAAATTTGTCATAAAATTTCATTTCACGATTCTTAATTATTATATGCAATTTACATATATGTATAATAAATTTTATTTTTGTTTTTGTATTATGACTATAAATTTATTTCCCTCTAAGTTTTTAAATAAATTTATGGAAAAATCACATATCAGTGAATTTTTGAAAAATTAATTACCAAATCTTGAAAAACTTTATAATTTTAATTTTCAATTTTTGTAAAATTTATCATTAATTTAAAAATATTTTTTCAAGCATCCACTTAAATGAAATTTTTCCTAAATTTATTATGATTTAATGTAAGTCATTTTTCAAGCATCCATTTATGAATTAAATGTAGTCCAAAATAGTGTAATAAACTTCAATTTCTAAATGGAGCTCTAGTGAGGTGGAAAAAATAGAGTAGAGAGAAATAAAGAGAGGAGTGTGAGCCCCACCTTCACATGAGTATTCTCCACATCATTAGAGTTGTATTAGAGCTCTCAAATATTATTGATAAAAAAAATAAGACTAAAATATTATATCAGAGTAGAACCCACTTTCCATTAGAGCTATTAGAACTCCAATATTAGAGCTCTAAAGCATTTATATCGTCTCCCTCTCATCGTTCCTAACAACCATAGATCATAAATTATTGCACAAAAAATACAAAAAATACAAAAAAAATTAATTTTTAGTGGACACCCTGTTTTTTTTTTATTTTTTCGTAAATTTTTTTTCGTTACACCTGATTAATTACCATATATAGAGTTAATTGTAATCACATATTAGTATTCTTCTCACAATTTTTTATTGGTGTTTAAATAGTTGGTTTCTTCAAAAGATTATAATTTGCAACTGTTATCTATTTATTTGTAGGTCAAAAGGATAAATTTTGCCGAGGGGAAGATCTGATTCTAGAAGTAAGGAATTTGCAGCTTGATTTTTGAAATAGGCTCAAAATTGAGATCTTGTTGGAAATTTTTTAATTTTTGTAAGAGCATTTAAATATCCAATGTGCTGATTGGTGAATTTTAGATTTTATTTTATTATTTTATTTTTTTTTAGGATTTGGGTGAATTTTATAATTTAAATATGCTTTTATGAACATGTACAGTTTAATTGTTCTTTGTAAAATATTGAATTTGATGGTTTGATCAATTTTTATTTTTATTTTCTGTTATGATGTTTTTGTGAATGGAATGTAAATAATCAGTTCTTAGAGAGAGAGACGGCACCACTGTCGGAAAAAATAGAAAATTTTAATATTTTTATTAATTTTGTTACAGGTTTTACTTTTTGCGACGACATTATATTGTCACAAAAAAATAGAAATTTTATTATTTAAAAGAGAAATTTTATTATTTTTTAATATTTTTTGCGACGGTATTATACTGTCGCCAAAAATAGAAAATTTCATATTTTTATACTTTCTGTGACGGCACCACATTGTCGCTAAAAACAGTGTTTTTTTTTTAAAAAAAGACTATTGGCGACGGTATTTTTTGCCGACTCAAATAACATTTTTAGCGACGGTAAAATAGGGTCGTCGCAAAAAAGTCAAGAAATTTCAAACGTTATTAGCGACTGCACGGTGCCGTCGCAAAAAGGCAAAAAATGCCGTCGCAAAACATTAGCGACGGCACTTACCGTCGCAAAAACTCTTTTGCAACCCCTGCAGTTGCGACCCCCCTCTTGCCGTCGCAAAAAGTCATTTTGCCGTCGCAAAAAGTATTAGCGACGGCATGAGGAGTATTAGCGACGGTATTTTACCGTCGCAAAAAATCAATTTTTTTGTAGTGATTACAAGTTGAACAGAGATACATAACAAAATAAAATGGCAAAAGAACGTAAATCAAAGCCTGAACTAGATAGTTTTCTTAAAACAAATTCGCCACCTCACTGATTGGAGTGCTGGAGATTGTTTGACGTCTGTCTCTCAGAATACGACGGTTGGACCAATTACAGCCAAACACCTACGGTGTAGCTTTAGCGAATAGAACTCATAGAACACTCTCTCACTAAGAAGAATATAAAACTGGAGAAAATTAAAGAGCAAGAATAACAAGAACTTTTGGAGGTGGAAAACTAAAGGAGAGGGGCCTCCTTTTATACATATGGAATGAGAGAGGAAGTGGCTCCTGTCATCAAGACCTATCATAAATGCAGTATTAAACTCTGCAAAATTGATGGATTTAATCCATCATAAATATAGAGGAGTTACCAGCTTTTATACACATGTGTATTTTGTATAGGAAAATGCTAGAGGTCCCAAATTTTCTACCAAATAAATGACCAAATGTCTCACATAGGTGTAGGGCCCACAAAATTGCGGACCCCACACCCATGTGAGACATTTGGTCATTTGTTTGGTAGAAAATTTGGTGTCCCTAGCATTACCCTTTTGTATATTCCTACAGCCCCACATCTGGTTTGACCAAAAAAGATTAAAATGGGTGGGCCAAGAACTCGGCCCAACCCCAACACTCAATCCAGTCCAACAATCTTAAGCCAAAGCCTCAGTCCCAAGATCCAAGGACCTGGACCGGTCCGGGCAGGCGATGTGCGCATGTGGCAATTTTTGTATAACCAACTTAATCAGTAGTCTTGGCCCAAGTGTATCATTGAAGCATCCATAACTCCCTTCCTTCGGAAAATTTGAATGCCCCCAAAAAGCTCACACCTTTAAACAAAAGATGAGATTTAAATACCCATCAATGCTCTCCTCTATAATCAATACGGGATAGAAGGTTTCACACCTTAGCCAACACCTCTTTCATGCCGCCAATTTAATGAGTCAATTTCTCATTCAAATCTTAATGGTTTTTTGTTATTATTTTTATGGTGTAAAAATTTCATTACAAAGAATTTAAACCCACTCTAATCCACCTCAATTGAGGATTGACACCCACTTTAATATTGTATTAAAGTGTAACAACCCTCATACTATTTACTGATTAATGACTGATTGATTACCGATAACCATCGATTATCGTGAAACTGAATTGATTATGACTGATAATTGAACTGATTAAAGTACTGAACTGACTGACTGAAATTTGAAACTGAATTGATTGAGTATATGTTAGTTAAATTGCATTCTATCTGTTTGACTGTTATGATTATCTGTTCATGCTTATATGTTTAACTGCTAATGAAGGCCTTATCGGCGGCCGAATTAGAAACCGATTGATGTTTTATTATCCTCATAATTAAGTAATTTTATGGTATAATTATCTGAAAACCGATTAGGTATGATTTAAATTAGATTAAAATAAGCCAATTAAAGAGTTTGACGTAATTACACTTTTTGCCATCTAGTGAGGCCTTTGTTTACTCATATTTGAGCCTTGTGTATTGCTTTATCAAAACAATTTCTTCAGCCATATTTTTTTTAGCACACCACCGAACTAGAGAGAGAGGAAGTGAGAGAGTGGAATTGTTCTAGAGAATTGGCTTTGAAAGGTTGAAAGATCATAGGAGATTGCCTAATTGACTCCTAACCTTGAATACAAGCTCTAGGTAAGGATTTTATCTCTCATTCTTGTGTTTGAACTGGTTCTTGCATGGTCATGTCTAGTTGTAGAGCTAAGCATGAATTGGTCCATTAATGGTGAATTGAAGCTCAATCTTTGCATGCATGTTAGTATTGTTGATTTTGAGTTGAGTTCATGGCAAAAGGTTACATGCATGTGTCATAATTTTGTAATGGTCCATTGTTTTTCACCATGTTTTGAAAAAGAATTGGCTCCATTAGAGATCACATTGGAGCTTCAAAATGGTTTGAATTCATGCATGTTGCATGTTCATTTTGTTCTTGAATTGGTTTTGAAATTGTTTGAATTAAAACACCCTTGGGCCTTGATTTCTCAAATTGAGTTTGAACCATGTGTAACTATGAGTTCACCATGTGTTTTCTGGAAATTTAGCCCAAGAGGTCGAGTTTTGATGCTTTTAACTTGGTTTTGAGCTTGGAGTGCAATCTGGGTTTTCCAGATTTCGCACTTCCGCTTCGAGGGGGTGAAAGGCGCAATTTCTACTCGCGCGCTTGACAAAATACTACTCAGTTTTGAGTTCCGGTCATTCATGTCCATTTTGGCACTGTGTTGAACACAATCTTGCATATTTTAACAATGGTCGGGGAGCAGGTATTTCACAAGGATAAAATGTGTAGCGACTCAGTGTGGACCGTGTAGTAGTGTGACTCAGTGTGATGGTCTACAAGTGCTTATCACATTGACATTGTTACAGCTGTCACAGTTTGGAGCGGTGTGGGTGTGATCACCGAGCGGATATCACTTTCACATCTCAACTACTGTGAACATCATATTACACAAGACATTTCATATTGTTATACTTCTAGTTGCACGCAATTCGAGCATGTGAGTGTAAGAGTGTATACGCGGTCCGAGCGGTTATTTTTATTAAGCTACTCTTGCTTGTCGGTGAGTCCACCAATAAGACTTATCCGTGGTACGATAGTTAGAGAAAAGCAGCAGACAATTCACGAGCGGAGCCCTATTTTTCTGAAAATTGCTTTTAAATGTTACATAATTTGCATCCTCAATTTCCAATATACCTAGGACAATATTCCTCACTAGGCCTAGTTTTACACCGGCTGATCTTGTGTGTGATGGGATATAGAAATGTATTAGGAATCAATCCACATCCCGATGTGTTTTGAAAAGAGCATTAGAGAACATTATAACTTATTACCAGCTATACCCACACTTGCTGCGGTAGCTTAGGTGTGTGTTCAATCTGTAACTGTGTAGAGAAGTTGTGTCGGACTGGGGTTACGTACATTTCATCAGCCAAGTCGTTCCATTTTCTAAGTGTGAATAAAACTTGCTATTATAAGCCAGTAACTCATATTGTAACGAAAGTAACAATTGTTGTAAAAGATTATTGTTTCAAATTGAATGTACATGGATATCTTTGATATACTGAACTGAACTGTTTACTTGAACTGGTATTACTGGAAATGTAAAATGATTATGTCCTTGTACTTTCTGATATCGTCTACTTGTGGACTTATACTCTTATTGGTAGTACCTACCGTTGTAGTCTGTTACTGTTACTGTTACAGAGATCTCTGATCGGTTTTCCTTTCGTTGGAGGCCATACAATTTTACTTCTGAGGTTTGACTGCTATGTAGAAGGCCATCATTACTGTATAACGTCTTTAAGGAAGCAAATTCCTACTGTACTAGTTGGAATTATTCGCTATATTTATTTGTGTTTTAGCTGATTCTTCGTTTAAATAAAAAATAATTTGTCATACCAAATTTTAAAGGTGACTGTTTACGTACTGAAAACAACTGATAAATACTTGATTGAATTTGAACTGTTTTCGGAATTACTACTGTTTAGAGTGGACATTCATTTTTACTATTACCTAAACAGGGCTCTTTACGTGTTAAATATCTTTTGGCTATCACTCTTTTCACTAGAATTAGCAACTTTAGCTCATGGTTTATCTTAGAAGGGATATATTAGTATGTAGGTGGTCAGTCCACCATGATCGTTGAGCTTGTAAATTGGGAAGCGATTGTTAGTGCCAGATATAAGACTCCAGATATTTGTATTACATAATGTAGCCAGTCCTTAATATGCCTTAACACTGCATGACGAAGGTGTTATAGTACCGAAGTTTAGACACAATAGGGACTAATTGTTTATTTGGGATGATATTTAAAGTTCCCTCTCTTTTTCAAACCGATTCCATTTTACATACTCTTATTACAATTGGGAATTATCTTGTTATGTAGTAGAGTGTTGTTTTAAGGTTGCTAGACTTTGTATATCATTAGTTATATTCATGAAGAATTATAATTACGCTGCTCAAAAAAGGGGGGAAAGAAAATGGTAGCGGTTCAGTTTTGCTGAGCTGTAAATTTTGTATAGACCTTTCTTATGTGAATTTTGTTATTATATGTTGAATGACATAAAGAGAGTCTTAATATAGGACATAACAAGAACATATAAGCACAGCTCAGAATTGAGATTATACTCGTTCTACCCATACTAGACCCTATACAAGGAGTGTTATTGGTCTTGTACG